ATCTCAATTTGTCAAACCGCTCATATTAAGACAACTCCCAAGTTGAATGAATTTGTCGACTACTTCCAGCACTTACCGGTCCTGTAACAGGACCTTACATTTGGAAGGGGCAAAGGTCAACCCAAAATAGGAGGCTGACATTTCCAGTCTAAGCAGCACATACTGGGCGGCGATGTCATCGGCGTACCTCAAGTCCCGAAGGCCGTCACCAGGGAGTTGTTAAACGCCGCAGGATCTAGTCCATGGCTGTGTTGAACAAGAATGGAGCGACTGACCAACCCTGTCTAATGCCACTAGTGAAAGGGGACGAAATGTCTACGTATGCTCGCACGCCACCCTAAGTTGGATTGTACATGGCACGGAGAATGTACTTTTCAGGTACTCCTTTTTTTAGTAAGCAGTCCTAAATAGCCACTCTGTCAACAAAGTCAAACGCGGCTCCAGTGTCCAACAATAGGATTATGGCTGGTTGACTGAACGTGTGGCGATGTTCAAGTCCCTGGCGGATTGTAAAGATGAGACCTGGGTGAACTCCAGCTTGTTGTTCACACAAGTTCTCTTCCCGTACGCAACTGAGCCCCCGCAAGATTAGGGCAGCTAGCAGTTTGGATGTGGCACCAATGAGACTGATGCCATGATGGTTGAATCAAATTGTCCGGTCTCATTTTTTGTACACAGGTACAACATCCACTGCTTTCTAGTCGGATGGGATAGTTTCATTAGTCCAAATCTAATGAAGAGAGATGTCAGTTCAAGAGTGAGAGCAGGACCCCATATTTGAAGAGAGCAGGAGAAAGTTCCTCTGGGCCAGGTGACTTGTGGCGCTTTAGTAATCGAAGCTCAAAAGCAGCCTCAGTCGATCGAGAAACATCCACGAATCAGGACGCACTGTGAACCCCGCAAGATGGACTCAGTTGTGCTGGTGGCCAGTTGAACTGATCTTCAAAGTGTTCTGTCCATCGTATCAGACGACGGTGACGACTGTGAATTAGTTCGCCGTCATTTTCACGCCATACCTCGCTCACTGTTAGTCTTCTGTCTCCCGTGAAACGAATACATGGGAAGGGTTTGCGTGAGTTTCTTGGTGAGGCTGCTCGCTGTATCTCAATGACGCGTTGTGTCCACCAGACGTCGCGATCCTTCTTGAGGAGCTGTCTGAGCTCAGCCCCTTTGTTTCTCTGTAATGCGTTTAACTCAAATCCGGCGGGAATTGTTCGACGGAATTGTTCGAGCTTTCCATTAGTTAAAGTAACGGCGGAGATCCAATGACTAACAGTTCGTCTAGTGAAGCCACAGGCCAAGGTAACGGACTTACGTAAGGCGCTCTGAATCTGTGGCCATTGTGTCTCAACATCGGAAGATAGAGAACATGGGTAGGAGTCTAATGTGTTCGAAATACGCCGAGAACATGAGCGGCAAGCTTGCTTGTGTCAAGCCGTTTCCGGCGATGATGTTCGCTGCATCCAAAGCGCAGAATGAACTTAACACACACGAGCGCATGATCCGAAATCAGGTAAGTGTTTCGAATTGACTTGCAGTCCGTTATGCAGCCTCGCTAACGGTAACTCGATATGGTCAATTTGCGTTCGATCTAGACCAAGCGCCGGGCGTCATTGAGACAATCGGAGACCGCGCGGAGTGCCTTGATTCACAATACAAAGCGGAGCACTTTCAAGAGCAGTTAAGTTGACTCCTTGCCTCCGAACCCTTTTTTACACAGGTGCTGCAGGCTGAGTCATGATCGATTAGTTTGGTGGCTCCATCATAGTTGAGGTCTGGCACACGATCACAGTCCTTAATTATTTTCGAGCCGCTGATCCGGATTCCATCGTACCTGCACTATTTTAAGGATGGCGGTGAGGTCCTCCACAAAGCATTGACCTTGTTCGAGCAGGTCTGAAAAGTAGAGACCATTCCAGCTAAGTGGAGTGACTCAGTTGTATTGGCAACATACAAAAGGGCAGCTGCACTGACTGTGATAACCATAGGGATGTTAGTTCGGCGCTGTTATTGACAAAATTACTGGCCTAAGTTCTTGCTCATCGTCTTGCCGCGGAATGGAAATTCCAACTTAGAGAACAGAAAGCAGGTTTCCACCCATGATGTGGCTTATGGGGCACCACCCGTACACATCCATATCTAGTGTAAACCTGAGGCATGTGAATGAGCTACTGTTGGTTCGGAGACGTCTCACTGCATCAACATGCACATCGTTAATATGAATTAAAAGGAAACGTGTGTACCAGAGGTACGTAGAGCATTGTCTGGGCCAAGACACGTTCCACACTAAGTGGACCATTCTGTGATCCGAGCACTCCAACGAAGGTTGTGCGCCTCGTCTCCGTCTGCAACGATTTTCTATCTGATGGAGCCAGTAATCGACGTAGCGGTTTCCAACAGGGAGGCACCTTGTCAAACATTCGCATCAGTCGTCAAACGCAGTCAAAAATATAAGACAATGCAGACTCATAAGTGCATGTACAGACAAACTACAGTGACGATGCTGTACACTTTTCATATCGACCGCATTATTGACTTGGTTTAGTAAGTGAAGCCAAAAGCAGCATACTTGCCATGCGCTGATACTTACCTATTCGTCTATCGTGGTCACGCTGTCGGCTACTCGACTGAGACGCATGACTGCATTTTCCTGAAGCGTTAGGTGCTTGAGGTCGATGGGGTGGGCTCCATCAGCTCCCGTCGCTTACGTAACTGGCGTTTTTCCTGATGCAACAGTCCCTTCGGGTGCACAGAAGCAACGGCATTCTTGATGGGATCACGCCATCAACTGCGATCCAATGCCATTTCTTTCCAGCACCTACTGACAGGTTCGCCTTTATCGTTCTAGGGTAGCTTAAGTTAACCCACATTCCGGTCCACCGTTGTCGTGCTTCTCAACCTCAAGAACGCCTGTTTAGTGAGTCGATGTGTTCTTTGGAACTGTCTGCTAAGGAAAGATGTACCTGAGGATTATGTAAATATAATCTGAGCGCTTTACGCGTAGCTCAGGCAGTGAGGGCTAGCGGCGATCTGTCGCGACCATTCAATATCTCCAGTGGTATAAGACACAGATGCACGTTGTCATCTTTCCTCTTCACATGCACTATTGACGAAGTCATAAAAGTCGAGTTCGCTGAGCACAACTCGGAAGGTGTGGAGCCGCTTCCAGGCAAACGATTTCTTGACTTTGAGTGTGCTGAAGACTTTACCCTAATTTCTGACAGCTCACCAAGATGCCAAACAGCATTAGACAGACTAGCATTGACTCTCAGCCGTTCCGGGCTTTGCTTTGCAACCTTAAAGTGCAAAGTTTTCCTCATACTGGGATAGACTGCCTCCTGCACTGATCCGTGGTGGGGATTAGCTGGAAGTCATTCAGAAATTCGACCACCCGAGCAATTAATTCAGCAGCTGGGGGAAAACAAGATGATCACAAATGGTATAGCAAGGGCTGATCTTCGCCGCTTATGTCGCCGACGCGACATCACTCGTCCTGAAGGGTAGAGTTTACAATACAATTGTACGTTCGACCCTATGATTGTGAAACTTGCCCATTAGATCAGCAGACGTTAAGATCTTTGTTACGTTCGACCACGAAGTGCTATCACAGTTTGGCTGATATCTCTGCTTTGCTTTACACCAACTCCTCGTTTCGGCGAGCATTTTTTAAATCTCACTTTCTTGGTACCAAAACTGCTATCGGTTGATGTCTATCACTTAAAATTCACCTCACAATTTCCGTCCGTGATCACGCTTCACCATCCCGGAGACGTTTTTCCGTACTTCGTTTTTGTGTTTTCTCCAACAGGTCTTCTGCATCGTTCGCAAATCTCCAACCACCCTGTCGATAGAATCGAAGATGTACTAGAGAATGGGGAGGAGGTCTTTTGCAAAGTTATCAATATGCGAGTACGTACCATTGATTGTTCTTTCTATGTATGTCTTAGAAGATTATGTGTCTCACTGAGCATCCATCTTCCATCCCAAGATCACGTTTGCATGTTTTTAGTACTGCTCTTGTTCGCACAATCTATATTGAAGTAGATAGAAATTGGGTGTTTGCCTGCCCGAAAACACTGCAATCCTATGACGCGTTTCGATATTGTTTCATCTCATCAGTTAGAGATAGCGGGCATCAAACCCGGGACAATTAGGAAGTCAGTTGTGTCCGATAACCCTAAGCCACTGGGTCACGACGAGCAACGCTTGGCACAACGATCTTCGCGATAGAAAGACCAAGGTTCACTTAAGTGGGAATCGCGGTTAGCATTGAGATTGTGTGTCGCAATCCATCCACACAACATGCACTTCGAAATGACCCCCCAAAGTCTATATTGAAGTACTTTGCAGTTTATTGCACAGTAAGTCCACTTACTTGATTAGTGCTGCAAAGACAACGGAAATTGATGGGAAGGAAACATCGAGAAGGAAAATAAAGCAATAAGCCACCCAAGATACGGCTTAAAAGTAGCCAGATAATGCCGTGGCAGTCGCGGTCGCATCTACGATTTCTGATCTGTTCCATCCCGATGACCTTCCAAAGAAAGCGCTTTGTAGTGAGAAGGTTCCCATTGATTTTTTCACTATTACTTACTACAGTATGAGCTTTGGGCTAGCTAAGTTTGTTTGGCACAGCTCTGCGAATTAGTGTGATATGGTGATATAGGGCGACTTTTGATTAGGGGAAGATGGTAAGTAATCATGTCTTCACCTCGGTGCCGATGCGCCGACTTGCTTTAGCTTTTTTCTTATCAGTAAACGCACTCGAAATCGAGCTTTGGCAATGCTGCATGTGTTCGGCTTTTGAAAGTCCAGTCATATATAGAGTACTTCGTTGGGAGCGAGTCGTTCATCCATTTGTTTCGCTCCGGCTGACAAAACCAATTAAATCAGATACCTGCATTACATTTTCATATTCCGAACCCGATCTTTTCTCTTTTCTTCACACCCGTCGTATTTGGGTTGCAGCTAACTCCCAGTTTTTATCGATCGTTTCGGTCTCCTTATTTTTCTACTCAGGCTAGGAATGAAACCCAAAGTTAGTCATCTGCTTGTGGCTGTGTAACTAAGTTAGCTGGCTCTACATCGGTTGCTGACCGAGTAGTCTGCGCGCCTAGTTTGTAACCATAAGGTCATCGGTTCGAACTGCGTATGGGCTTGCGTTCTCGCGCTTTACTCAGCCCACGCGTTACTGGTGGTGGTCGCGTGACAGCGAAGCGCCGTTACGGACTACAGCTGGCGATTTATTTTATTAGCTGACTCTAGGGTTTGCGGTTAAGAACCAGTTGTGTCTTTATTCAGCACAGTCTCAGTCACATTTCGAATCTCTGTGCTCTACTTGTGCGGTTGCGCGCCTTCTTACAAAACACTGCTGTAAATGCTAAAAACCGATTGTGCTACATTTTCCCCATCCCCGACAGACACCTGATCGCATAGCGAATTTGCTCTTTACACAGATGCCTTTATATTCTGTGTTGACTGAATTCGGAGTATCACCAGGTTAGAAGGGTGACTTCCCTATACTAAGACCGCTTCTGCAATTGAGCGCACCAAGCAGCACTCTAGGGCAATGGCACAAGCTCGTCGCACCGGGTCTGAAGCTCATCCTCTGCTTCGATCGATAAGCCACTGGAACACTATCCTAGACAACCATTGGGGTGCGGATTATAAATTTCAGGAGAACATCAAACCTTTATAGAACGTCACAAAACTGATGTGTGTTTAAAGTGCGCAGGAACGAATAAGGTAATCCCCTGCACGTGCTCGATCCAATGTCGATGGAGCAACCTAGGTGAATATACATTCCCTCTGAATTCCATATTCGTTACAACCACTGAACTTTTTCAAAGCATTTAACAAGAACGCTATGGTATGTTCTAACCTCGAGTAAATCACAGCCATACAAACCGGAAAGCTTTTGAACTATTCGTTTATCTTTCAGGATGGAAGGATCGGCCTCAGCATGCGACTGGTAGATCAAACCACCGGTCGCGACAAGGACCCAGACAACCTGATTGCATCGTAAGTCTAACCTCTCCTGTTGTTTTCCGCGGTTATCTTCCGTTTCTAAGTTTGTCTCACCTGGCGTTTGTCAAATCGGTAGTTTTACAGGAGACTTTGGTCAAAGTTTTGACTGACTAAACGTCGTCTTGCCACTACATGTGACTAAGCATCGTTAGAAACCAGCGTTTTCCTGTTATCCTCTCTTGATGTTGCACCCAGAAGTAGGTTCTATTTTGCTGTTTATCCTAATCCCCACTACCTGGTTTAATCGTCGTTTTAGGCCCGGCCACTTACTCAGCTCAGTCGGTGGTTACCAATCGCTTAACGAATTGGTCCCGTCCCGAACATCACCTTGCGCTTCTGCCTCGGTATGTGACCGCTGGCTCGAAGTAACGGTCGTCACTTAGGACATGAAATCCAGTATGCCTATTTTTGCAGCGCTTGCTCAGATCGCGTTATACCCATGTGAACAGGTACAGTGAATACATTTTAAGACTAGCGTGTTCCCAGCTCATGCCCGCTCCTGTGACTCACTTTCCTTGTTGTAGTCAGCCTAATCTTGCTTTTTTAGACGCTTCGTATAGATTGTACGCTAATTCGCGTTCCTTCTTAAATGCAACGATACTTTTTAGGAGATATCTGTTCATCTTTTCTTTCTTTAATACTTTTCAGGAGACTAGAAGAAAGGCGAAGGGGCAGGCCCTACGAATCCCGCGCTCCAATTTCTCTTGGGGCCGTCTACGAAACTGTATGTAGAAATTGCGGCATTCGTGGTGGGTTTTCGCGTGAACATTTTTTCCCATACCTTATAATCCGTCTGTTAAGAGCAGTTAGTTTCTCTAATTAACGAAAGTGTGTTTCACTCCCTATATAATCATTTTTCGACCAAAATGAGCAACATACTTGTTGTATTTGACGCAGTTACTTATGTTTAATGAACAGAAGGTCCATTTCGCCAAAGCTTGCTACAAACGCGTTTGTGGAGTGCTTTCGAAATTCGTGCAACTTTGAAATTTTTTTTACATAAAATCGCGCTAACGTATTCCCGAATTCTCCTAATGCCCGCTTCAATTAAAGGATCCGGGGTGTTTTATCATCATCATCATCATTACACGTTAGCTGGAGGTGGAAAACACCTCAGCTATTGTGCCGCAATACAAAAGGCAAGAGAAGAAAAAACAAACAAACAGTGGCACGCCCGCTGAGTCCCCAGTAACGGATGGACATCGTTCCGGAGAGCTAACAGCTGGCTGCCGTAAAAGAAAGTCATATTATGCCTAACGATTGAGATCGTGATTGGAGGGGATGCTAAACAGGAGGGGGGATGGACCAAACGTGTTCACCGTCCTTAGGACCCCAGCCAGGCAGTCGGGATGCACCAACCGACGCCAACTTCGAAGTGAAGGTTTTCATTTCTCTCGACCAAGTCATCACTTGGCCTCCCCTCCTCCTCTTCCAACCGCACCCACAACACGCAAACAATGCACGTCGTGGGAGTCGGTGTGCTGGCATGCGCAACACGTGGCCCAGCCATCGGAGCCTGGTGCGTGATATAATGGTGCTGAGCGGTTCACTCGCTCTTCCTGCACCAAATACGCGATGCCGAACACGCTCATTGCACACGCGGTGCTCACACCAGACATGAGCTAAGCTGCGAAGGCAGCGATGATCGAATTTGACGAGTCTCTTCATGTCTGTTGACCTGATGGGCCAGGTTTCACAGCCATATAGGAGAGTTGAACGGACGGCTGCGTTGTAAACGCTGCCCTTCAGGGCGAGAGCTTTTGCTATACGGATCGTAATCTCATCTTCAATCCCACGGGTGCTAATATAGCTGCCCAGGTACTTAAATTCCTGAACGACTTCTAGCAGATCACCACCAAGCGTTAGCGCAGGGTTGGGTCCCTGCCAATCTTGGAGAAGTACTTTGCATTTCGATGGAGCAAATCATAGCCCAAAACGATTGACAGCCAATGCTAATCGGTTCAGTGCTGTTTGGCATGTTTGGGAGCTGTCACAGATTAGGGCAATATCGTCTGCATACTCCAAGTCAAGAAGTCGCTCACCAGGGAGTAGCTTTACACCTTCAAGGTCGTGTCCAACGAACGCTGTTTCCATGACTTCATCAATAACGAAGTTGAAGAGGAAAGGTGACAGCGAGCATCCTTGTCTCACAACGCTGGTGATACTGAAGGGTGGCGAGAGTTTGCCATAAACCCTCACCCTGTCCGAACAATGTGCGTACAGCGCTTTGATAATGTCTACATATTTATCAGGCACACCTTTCCTCATCAGCAGACAGTCCAAAAGGGCACATCGATCGACTGAGTTGAAGGCACCTTTTATGTCAAGAAACACGACAACGGTGGGTCGCCAATAAACATGGCGGTGCCCCAACACTTGACGCAATGTGAAGATGTGGTCGATGCAGCCCCGACCTCGACGAAATCCGGCTTGCTCTTCACGAATCTGGCTTTCACGAGTGCCAGTCAGTCTGTGGAGAATGAGAGAGGCAAGCAATTTAGAGGCAATCGAAATCAGACTGATCCCTCTATGATTGCCACATTCTAAACGGGAGCCTCCCTTGAAAATTGGGACAATGACGGAGCGGTTCCAGTCTGTCGGGACTGTCTCCTGCTCCCAAAGTTTTACTAGCAACTCGTGTAAATCATCTACTAGAGCAGGTCCACCGAACTTGAAGAGGGCTGGAGGAATTTTATCTGCTCCTGCGGCCTTATGCAATTTCAACAGCCTGATCTCACGTTCGACTTCTGCGCGTGAGGGCGGATCCAAGGAGACGGCCCAAGGAGAAGGGCGCTCAGTGCCCGAAGGAAGCGATAACTCAGGTTGGTTAAATTGCCTCGCAAAGTGTTCAGCCCAACGCTCCAAGCGTTTTGATAGGCTGTGGATCATCTGCCCACTCTCGTCGCGTATGATCTCGCTAACACCAGGTCTCCTGCTGCCTGTTGCCCGTATCAGACGGTATAACTTACGATGATTACCAACGGCAGCGGCTGTTTCCATCTCAGAGACACGATGAGACCACCAGGTTTCGCGGTCCTTCTTTAGGCTAGCACGTAGTTTCGCCCTGAGATTTTTGCGAGCGTCATTGTATTCGCTTCCAGCCGGAATACGTCGGCGAGCCTCCATAAGTTCCAGAGACTGTGTAGAGATCCAATGTTCGGTTTTGCAATTTGTTTTGCCACATGAAGACATGCCTGCTAATAGCAACGCTTGACGTGTATGCGACCAGTGATCTTCAACGGTGTTTAGTGGGCGCTTACTCAGCCCAGATGTCAGCGCATCTTGGTACACATACAGAACATCTGGCTTCGCCAGCTGGCTGGTGTCAATCCGTTCACATCGACGTCGCGGACGTCCACCGAAACGCACCAGGAGGTCGGCACATACAAGTGCGTGGTCAGAGTCCACGCTCGTGCTCCAAATCGAGCGACAGTTTTGGACACAGCCTCTCCAGCGGTAACTGATCGCGATATGATTGATTTGCGTCCATGACTGGCCCGAGGCTGGTGGGCGCCAAGTCACGCTTCTGCGGGTGCTGTGTCGAAAGTTAGTGCTCGCGAGAAACAGGCGAGCATCTTCACACAGCTGGAGCAATCGCTCACCATTATCATTACGAGAGCCTACACCATGTTGGCCTCCCAGATGAAGCTCATCAGAGGACAATTTTCCGACTTGGGCGTTTAGATCGCCAGCCAGCACCACAGTATCCGTGTTTCTTCTGTAACGAGGGAACTCGTGAAGTTGCTGATAGAAATCATCTTTTACCGAATCAGTGCTACAGTTTGTAGGGGCGTAGGCCGCAATGACAAACAGGCACCGTTTGTCCCCGCGCGACTTCGAAGCACGGAACGAACCAGCTAATCTAACGGCGCACATCCCACTGTTTACTGGGATCCAATCAATCAGAGCAGCTTCAGCCTGGGGACTCAAAACAATGCCGACGCCAGCTTGACCGGCATTTGAAGCTGCATCATCGCCAGATAGGTGCAATAAGAATGTGCCGCCAGTGTCGCATGTGGGGGATCTCAGGGTAAGCACGGAGCTCGAACCTTGCAGGCGGGTTTCTGATAAACAGCAAATATCGATCGATAGGGTCTCTAGTGTGCGGGCAAGTGTTGCCTGTTGGCCAGTCTGCAGCAAAGTGCGCACGTTGAGGCATGCCAATCTTAGCGAGACATGAGGACTCCAAAGGGAAACGGATGAACTGACGTTGTCTGCTTGGTTGAACATGGACTTGTCGACTGGATTGGAGCGAGGCCCTGCGATTGTGTGTGATTTGAAATTAGAAGACAAGCGACTATTGAAGTAAGCTGTGGGAGGGCCAAGAATGGGGGGATATACGTAAAGTTGGAGCGGGACAATAAGGATGCAGAAGCGCAAGAAGGGGTATAAGAAGACGGGAAGGCCTGAGCAGTGGCATCCAAACCCCTATCCACCCTGCTCGATGCAGCAGATAGGGCGCCGTTTATTATCCTCTGCGACGGCCAGAGCATCAAGAAACTGTTGTAGGAAAGGTTCATTGTATTGCGTGGGCAGAATACTGTCAGGTTGCCCAGGCCTAGGCAGGAGAACGATTAGGGTTCTCAACCAAAGCCTTTGGTTCAAAAACTTTACCGCAAGGCAGCGGGTTTTGGCACTGGACTAGAGTCCGTTTTATGAAATGAGGAGCCACCCCCATTCCAACCCCCAACCTGGAGGACCAGGAGGCTGAGTTTGTCTGGCCTCTAACCATTGACCAATCTGGTATGAGTGGCTCTAAAGGTGCAAAAAAAGCACCACCCAGCATAGCTCAATGGATCTCTGAGGCACGCAAACCATCGCACCACGGTAAGGTCCAGCCTCATTGCGATGGTTTTATCATCAACGCACTCATGCCCGCATTCCGCCTAGTTTCGGTGACTACCAACATAGCGACGGCACCCGTTACTAACTATTGTTAAAATCAGCATATTGATTCGGAAGGGACAATAAATTTCTCAACTCCAATGATGTCGACAATTACAATAAGTGAACAGTGCTGGAATCCTGATTTTCTGGATCTTCGATGTTTCGTACTGACATCAGTACTATAATGGTACCGACATGACTGTGGTTTCTGCCTTTACATAAATTCCACTTCTCACTTACGCTGTTATATTCTGGAGACAAGCAGCGTCACCTTTTTAGATTGAGGTACAAAGAAGTTATTGTGGTTAGCAATTAGCATCCGCACAGGTCTACCGGATAGCTAGCGAACCCATTGTCCGTGACATCCCTGCCAATCACTGGACAGATTCGGCTTTTGCAGCCGCTTAACATGGTTCATATGTAGATCCACTGAGCTAAAAAGCACAGGTATCGAGTGCTGTCCCAGATCATTTAGTGCGAATTCTGTACAGGCAGCGCCTGGCTTATAGGGACTTATTTCTGCATCAAATGCCGCCCGTAGTTGTCGCGTCCGTATGCTACTATGTATCGTATTTAAGAAGGAATAGGACACCGCTTTGTAACATTCGTTGTCCGAATGGATTACAGCACCGCATCTAAAGCAGATAAATACTAGATGTTGCCTGTTCTCAACAGCGCGCTCCAAGACCGCTCTGGTAATTACCTGCGCTCGTTAGGCAAAGATAGCAGAGATGCTTCTCAAACTCGAGATCCTTCGGATGCCAGCCAACATCTAAGCCACCGAGCCACGGTAGAAATCGTTTCTTACGGTTAGTGACTAGGTGAAGAGTCATTTTGAGGCACTCGTCCGTTCCTCAACACATTTTCTAGTCCTGTGGTATGTTGTGTGCACCAGCTGCATCACAGCACGCTGAGTCGGTTGTGATTTCAGTTATGAGACGCATTTGAATTCACACAGGTCGCTTGCCGGCCCGGTAAATCTAATGCTTGTGTTTACCAGAATAGGCCAATATGGCAACCAGGGTTTGTAGACATTTCTCGGTTCCTCCATGCGCAGAACAGTTTTATTTACACTTTCCACCCTTGTTTTAATATTTTACTTCCAGACATCTTCCCTGTTTTGCTAATGTATCTGACTGGCAATACAGCTTATTCGGTCTTTCAAGTCAAACCAAGTGCGAGTCACAAAATTCTTAACTGAGGTTATAGTTAACTAGCTTTGGACCGTCGTTGACGGTTCCGTAACTCCCCGTCTAAGAAACTGGTGCGTTCCTAGTTCAGTTCTGAAGGTAGCCCAACACTAAAAGCGGTTGTGATCATGTCGTTTGTTGGCTACGGACGTAGCTTTTGCCGAACAACGGTTGCGCCTGTCGGGGCAAGCAATGAACCGATATTATAGAGAAAAACGACAAAACCGCTTTGTAGGTTTGTAGGAACTTCAGTCCTCATTTTCTCAAATTATCAGAGTTGCGGAGTTAAACAGCTGGAACAGGGAGTCATACCAGCGTTCAAGCGGAAGTTTCAATTACCCCACCATTCTCATTGAAATTGACAATTGTTGTATCGACCTATGGGACTCATGTGCGCTTGCCGTAAACTACTTCGCTTTGGTCCAGAAACCACTTCTGTTCATTCTTCCAATATCACCTTCACTGTATCATTCGTAACTTCACCCGTACAACTTGTTTCCTTCTAGGACATTTGGCATCCGATTGTTTCCATCGACCTGGTTCCTCCCGACTCGGTCTTGTTTACAGTAGCGATGGAGGCAGCTCAGATGGTTACGACGGCCCGAAAGGAGGGAGTAGCCGCAAATTTAAACGAAGTGATAATGCCATCCGGGGGTCCCCGAATCGGATGAGACGTTTCAACGAATACCGGCCAAATGATGAAGGAAGGTCAGAGTACAACCGGAATTATGATTCGAGAAAACGGAAGCACACCGATCAACAGCATGGTAACAACTTCGAATACAAACGAAAAGTACGCCGTCTGCTTAAACCTTGGTTTGTCCGATTATGCGAACTCGTGTTGGCTGATCAGATTTCCAACGGCACAGATTACGTGTGATTCATTTATTAGCCTGCAGTTTACATAACCTGATTTCCGACCGCACGACTCACAAGGTATCTTACGTCGAATCCGGCTCGCAGTCTAAAGGTAACGAGCTGGTTTTGTAATCTGATAGGCGGTTTCGGGCCTGCATAGGGGCATGGGGACCTTCTCATGTGCGAACGGTGGTAGTTGCGCGGCAGCGAAGCGTCAGTCCTGCGAACCGGCGTACTACTGATGCCTCTTTGCCAGTACATGTTGCCTCCAGTCCGACTGAGCACACACACTAGATATTTATGTGACAATAGCCACCAGTAGCAGCGAATGGTTATTCAAGTGATAGCCCGTAATTTAAATCGATAACATCCACTTATTGTGCGTTTGCGATGACCGTGTGGCTAGTTACTTTGCTCGACTGATATATATATATATATATATATATATATATATATATATATATATATATATATATATATATATATATATATATATATATATATATATGTATATGAACTAGCCGAAGCCATATATTGTTGGAACTAAGCAATATAAACCGCCCCATTAACGTAGATCGCTTCTCGATTTAATAACAAATTGCTCAAAAATAGGTGTTCATGTAATTGAGAAAAAATAAAAATAGTATTCATTTTCTGCAAATTAATATATAGATATATATAATTTACGGAAAATAAACACTTTTTACTTTTTCTCACATGAACACCTATTTTTAAGCAATTTGTTATTAAATCGAAAAGCGATATACGTCTATGGGGCGGTTTATATTGCTTAGTTCCAACAATTTATGATTTCGGCTAATTCACATCGTGCTCCAAGTTCATTTAGATTCTTGGTTGAGTGTGTGATCCTTGATTCAATATGAACATATTTCAGTGGCTTCTCATTTGTTTCCACCATCACTTCCAAGTCTGCCCTGCATGACAGCCTCCTACCAGCACTCAGTTTCGATACGTCCAGAACACTAATCACCTGCCTGCCTATTCTACCTTTTAAAAAATCGTTCGCTTCTTTACCTGCTCGACTGACCTATGCTCCCACCTTGATGTTCATTCTAATTCACCTCGGCGAACGACTGTCTGACTCAAAAGAACAACGATCGACCAGCGAGGCGATAGAGGCGTCATCTAGCTGCGCTGCTTTGCATTCGTATTTTAGGCAATAAAATTTATTACCGAATATCATCTAATTCACTGCTAAATCACTAATGATTAGACACAGCTTATCAATGGTGATTAAGTAGTTATTTGTATGTTTTGACACAGATGGTTTTGCCATTATATTCTTTGGTGACAAATTGATAGTCCTCGTATTTACCCATGTAAAAATTCCATTTTAACCCTTTGGGGGTACTTACCCCTAGGTTGAGAACTGATGCTTTAAATGTACACTGATCGAGCGTTTATGTTTCTCTTTCCTCCAGCAGTCTCCATCTTGAGGTGCGGATGTGACGCTTCCTTTTACTCCAAAGCATCCATTTTTGATGGGGATGAACCTCTAAACGTTAGCATTTTATGCATTGTGAATCTGTATTGTCGTGGTAATTATAAACCTTCTGATGTCGACTTTAACGATTTGTCATGTAACGAACTGGGATCGCGTCTTACCCGCAAAGAAAGCGAAATGAGTGCCGGTCAGGATTCGATCGACCAGCTTTCAGGCCTTTGGATCAAGTGACCGGCTACTTCAGAACCCCTCATCCTTTGATGTTTAAAGTCCAGTTGACCACTCAAGGGCCTGGTCAGCGTAAAGAGGTGTGGATCCATGAAAAGTAAAGCCGTCATCTTACAGTGGTAGTCAACCTAGGGGATTTTACTGTAGTACTTAAACGAATCCTCTGATAGGATTAAAAGTGCATTCGCGTCAGACTACTTCGTCTGTGTACGACAACTAGTTCCTGGCCCTTATTTAGGATCCTAAATGCACCTGCTCACGGGTTCGCTGCCGTAGGGTATTTGGAGCAGAAAGCGTCTCATGAAAGCCTTGATTCATATTTGTTGTGGTTACATGTACATGAAGGTACCGCGTTACTAGGCGTCTTAGTGAAAAGCGTTTTCGGTGATTACACAACGCGATCTTAAATTTCTCACCTGTTTACCTACTTTTATTGCATATAGCATTTTGTCCCTTACAACCTGAAGGGGCCTCCAATTTGGCCGTTGCTGTTGTGCTTGGAATGTTCTACGCTGCTCACTGCGGACATCATTTTCCCACCTGTTTCGATATCTTATTTCCCATTTGTTTAAGTGAACCTATTTAAGATCAGTAAAGTTGACCGTTTGATTTCGCTCCGCGAAGTTGTTCGAAATTCACTTCTTGTCAAATATAACCACCAAGAAATATTTGGGGGAAGAAAAAACCTCGTGCTGGTTGGCAAGCTGGACTCAGACGCTGTCCTGCCAGCGCACAAATCGCCTATCCTGTCCAGTAATGTCGAAAAAACTGGTGGTCTCGAGGGCCCTTCAAAATGAACGGAATTCTCGAACGCAGGTTTAATGTCACAATGAAGTTGGTTACATCTCGACATTGAAGATGGAGTTGTGAAACTGAATGACTATCAACACATCTGATCCGACCGCGCAGGAAAGGCCTCACCACTGCGGAGGTGTGATCACGTACAGCTGTTGGAGTGTAAACCAAAGTCTATCTGTTGTAGTTGGGAACGTTTATGGAACGCCTAACGCAGCACTGTCAGAAATAAAGATGTTTGCAGATCACCCTGCCTTTAAATCGCAACCGAAGTTAGAAAGTTCTTTCTATATCATCGCTGGTGACTTCAATAGAAGTGACAGTCTTCTTTAAAGTGCTGGATCTCACTAACTTGGTGGAGTTCCCCACCAGGCGCGACGCACATTCGGATTTAATTTTTACTAATAAATATCTGTTTCCCACACAGATGTGCCCCACTTGGTAATTCGGATCATTGCATCATCAAGATATGCCCAGGTGCTTACTGTAAGACCAATTACGTTTCGATGACAAGGCCATTCAGAACTGTTAAGCGGTGAAACTTCTCAACGGAAAACATTTCAAAGCCCAAATCGACGCTCTATTCAACCGACTTTTCAGTTTTCGCCAATGGACGCTCAGTGCGAGCACCGCACAGACTACATCGATTTGTTTCAATCTTTATTGCCCCATTGTGACCATCTACCAAAGGATTGATAGATTTTCATCACCATTACTCAAGCAACTGCGTAGAAAAAAGGAAGCTTACAGATATAAGCTAACCCGTGTCAAACGTCTGAAGCCGAGATAGCCTATACACAGAAGCCGTTTTAGGAAATCACAGTTACCGTGACCTCTTGAGGCAACTCGCCGGCGAATGTTTCATTAGCCCACAAGCTGAACACTGAATCTGGGTCATCCAACACGTTTCCCTATCTTCTTTTCCCATCAGTGACCCTCTCACCTTAGTTGATCAGTGTTTACAAGGATCTCACAAGACTAAAGCAAATAAGGCTTTGAATGGGTGTGGACGCATTCCAGTCACCTCCGACAGATTTTCAACCGATGTTTAACGATTGGCACTATCTTCGACATCTGGAAAACAACCAGAATAACACCTGTGCTTCGGAAGGAAGCACAGAAGTATCGGCCGGCAACGTGCACCTCCGTGCTGCTGAACGTGCTAGGAAAAGTACTAATTCCCCGAGTCTTCACAACCAGTGACAAGACTGATACCAAACATACAAACCACAACGCTCTACACTGGATGCCGTCTCGTATATTGTGCACTCCATTGCATCTGCCTTGGATAAAAAACAACTGCGACTGCTGTTGATTATACAGATGCCTTTGGAAGCCTTGACAGATCGTTACTGCTAAATCTTTTATTCGAAAACGGCGTACCCCCATACGTATGTAGTGTAATGCGTGACTATTTTACGGATCGCCTACACCTCAAGCAGTTGTGTGGTAGATCTTCCGCGCTCCCAGCCAATCGTGGGGTCTTACAAGCGCTCATTCTATCCCCCTTTCAGTTTTCTCTCTATGTTGAGCATCTGTCTAGATCAACCAGTTCCATCAGGTGTAAGTACGCTGACAACGTCGTCCTAGGATGTTACAACCCCAACTGAGGAATCTCATAAACTCCAACGAGGATTTGACGAACTTTTGACTTGGTCAAGCTCCCTTTCCCTTAACTCTTTCAAGTGTTGTGATATCACATTCTTTTTTATCCGCACCGACAGACCGCTTTCTTTTCTAAACACCTTTGGTCGTGAGTGACCAAAGCATCCCTCGTTCATATCCCGCAAAGTATCTCGGTGTTTTTTGTCCTACAGTTTGTCCTGGCCGACATTCTTGAAACTTTTCAAAAGGTCAGAAGACTTTCTTTTACTCCCTTAGGCTCAGAAAACTCTCCGTACCGCGTGCACTAATTCGAAGGTTTGTAAATGCATGTGTTATTCCCCATAGACTGTACTGTCCGTTATTTTCCCCACGCTTCTCTTGTGCGATCACCAAAATGTATTTCCTGATGCTCCGGATTAGACAGATTCCCTCGTCTGTTTTTATGGTTAGCAAGCATTCTTACGCATGCCTTAACTTCCCATCCAAGATCCTTGACGATTCCTCTCACCCACTGCAGTTTTAGCAAGTACGGCATCTATTTCCTCCACGCGATCAAACTTCTATTTTCTCTTTGCATCGCAACTCCATAGTGCCTTATCTGTCTCACTTGTTAGTCGACCCAAAAGTGACAATGCAACAATTGTGAGAACATTTGTTTATTAGAAAATGATCGTTATTTTTCGTATCATTTCACATCATTTTCTCACCGATTTTATGTTGTAGTATATCCGTAGTGTTAACACAAATGCCCGCCCCCACACGGGTGCATAAACCTTAACTTGAACCTAATTTTCTTTTGATGTTGGAGCTTACCGTGTTGTGTGGCAACGGTACACCGGGAGTCAATTTATTGCTCAAGAACCAAACCAAATCTTTTTTCACTTTGCAATTTTCTCAGCGAGTAGTTCCTATTCCGCGAGCTGTATGCGCTCTGACATATGACGCCACCTTGTCTCGTATCACTCGCTACCCATCGCAAACAAGCGCTTATTGTTCTGTCTAACTTAAGTTACAGAAATGTGGGACGTCTCAGCAATCATGACTTAGCAACTGATCCTGCTGCCAAGAATAGTCAAAGTTTTATTTTTGTCGTTGCACATCGCGCCGGATTGACCAAATGATACGAAACAATCTCAACTGGGTGCGATAACTGTCCGTCTTTAGGAGACATGTCGTGATTGCTTTCAGGTACGGAGTGTGTGAAGCTGACTAACATAATCTTCTGGTCGTTCAGGTTGGGTTTGAGCCCCTGAGCCTACGGGTACCATATCAAATTTCAACCGTCACACTGTTTTAGCAAACCAGCCGGTACCTCTCTGCTTACTCGGCTGCCCGTCCTTGTATACCTCCCATAGTCCCCAGCGCAGGTAACTGCTGTTCTGCTGAATTTGAGACGCGTCTGTGTTTGCACCTACCTGTGTCCAACACTGCTATCAAATCGAATTGCTCCATGCTCTTGGCTGCGTCAAAAGCACACAGAACTGCGTGTAGTCCCCTATTGGGATTAGAACTTATGACGTGCTTAGTTTTGGTTACCTGAGCTTGATTTATCACGTCGTCATTAGCACCACTGATGCTCATCTAACAAATACACGATTAAATCTCCGCTGCTTGGTTAAATTTCCACGAACCACCATGTTCGGTCATCACCTGTGCTCTTCAGCTGATGGAGCCATGGACTTGACGTGCCGTTGCGCAACGCAGCTTTTCTGGATATCGTTCTGGTTGCCTGGATTGTGGACGTGCAAGATGGTGAGCTCCGTTTGGAATGGTTCAATGTTGCAACGCGAAAGAAAAACAAATAGTTTGAGAGCTGCACAATTCGCTGTATTGTTTTTAGATTCTGTGATGGCTGCGGTGATGGAAATGCAGATGACTTAAAGCGACTGGGAGACATAAGACAAAAGCCACTGGAGTGAAATGATATAAAGTATAAGTCACATTGTAGCAACATATTCTCTAACTGGAAGACACTGATGATTGCCACTGATGCGCCTTCTGGTGTTACGTGGAGGTAGGCAGAGGTAGTTTGTTCGGACTTGAATAGCCGGTTTCCAACAATTTTGCTTCAGTTACCAGGGCAGTTTTTTCAGCAATCGCGTCCAACAAAGGTTGTCGTTTGTGCCGATATCGGACAGCTAAATTTCTGAGCTCCGTTTCCAAGTCCACAGTCAGCGTGCTCAAAAGCTGTTGCAGTTCAGAATAAGAAAGCCGGTTAAGTGCGCCAGGCTCACTGGCCAGTCCACCGGGGAAGAGACCATTCGGTTGCAAAGCACGTGAAAATGGAGCGAATGGGCGTTGAGCTCCTAATGGCTGTCCCAGAGGCGAAGGTTCAACGTCACTTATACTACGAAAGAGAGTTGAAATAGAGCGCACTAGAATCAAAGTGGAGGAAATGGTTCATATAATTCGGTGGCACAGTCAAGATAGAGCTGATTGTGTTGGATTATTCCAGCTACGTGGAGGCAAACGGCTTAGGAAGGGAAACAACAAAGGAAATGTGTTGCTTGGATCGATCCAGTTCGTTAAGATCGCGAAACCAAAAGCAGGGGTTGGTATAGTGTCGGTGATAGCACTATGCAGAGGGAGGTGCACGGTATTCACTGGCTCAAACGTCCTACTGTATTTATGGCTTCGGGCTCTACGTTTACTTATTGGAAACAAAACCAATTTACCGCAATTTCACTTAGTGGAATGGACCGCTTTTGAGAACCGAAAGTGCGCCACGTGATGTGATGGGCCGGTCCCAAATCAAGATACAGCAGAACTCCTACACGATCGTGAACTTAATCCATATCTTTACAGCCACACGAGTTCTGGTGCACATCAACCGGTGATAAGGAGAATACTCACCCACGCTGCCCGCTTCGAAGTATAGCCTCGGGGTTGAGTGCGTTTCGTGTCAACGTACCGCCTGAACCAGCCGGGACAGCTGCATCCAGTAATTCGAGTGCCTCGCGTCTTTCCAGCTCTTGCTCGTCTAGACAGAGAGAACCCTCCGTGTCGTGTACAACCACTGAGCCGCTGTCCTCATCTTCACTGGGGTTGATCACCATGGTTCCAAGATCGTCTTCATCATATTGGAACCGGGAGGATGTGCGCCCACCTGAATCGGAAGGGCCACGACTGCCGGTGGAGGTTCCAGTGTCTGCAGAAACCAGAGTAGCGCACCCGTCTACGCCGTTCGGGCTGATAGCAAAAGTGAACGAACAAATCACAGTTCTTTTGACGTCTGCGTTTGTAAAACGAGTACTTGTGAATTACCGAGACCAGTGTTTGACGGCGCAGCATAGTGTCTGCATTATCGTAGACCTTAGTTAGATGACTGAATGATTTCGAGTCGGGTCAATACAATGTTCTGTTGGGAAGTGATTTATAGTAATAGGACTATTGAGCGGATAAATAAAAGATAACCGATGATTGAGGCTCATTTCAGCAGGAGACCATATGTCCGGTTAGAATCCAGAGTGGTGCCCGTTGTGATAACCGACTACTATAGCTGTTTCTTATCACGACCATTTAGTGAAGGACCGTAACTACAGAGTGCGGCCAATCATAGGAGCCACTACTAAGCCCGGTCAAAGCATGCAAACGAAAACGGATCGGCAATGCTGTCGGTTGATCGTTTTTGGGCAACAGTTGAGATACTGTTATTTGGTGTCACCGTGCGTGTGAAAAGAGGTGAACGAGATGTGACTTGTGTCGGAAGCGCGTATCGTACTTCATCCCCAGTTATTTTGTCGACTGTTTTCTTATCGGGCGCTGGTTCCACTCTTCGAATTAGTTCTGATGGCATACGCCAAGCAAATTTTGTCTATTGTGATGTGTCCGGCCTGCTTAAAAACTCAAGAAGCGTGCCATTTTCTCCTAGTGCTTGGTGAACTTATGACTAGACGGATTTGTAAATACTTATTTGATTCATCGCAATTAGATTACAAGCCACAAATGTCAAGTACCAATCCAGAAAAGCGCCAGACGAACATTAATAAATCGGTCAACTGTAAGTAGCGTTGAGATCAGTCATGAGAAGTATATGGAGCAAATAGTCGAAGATCAGTGAACTGGCTTTTCGGCCCAAGGCTTCTTTTCATGAAAAATCACAACCAGCTATCAGGTTGCACCAATTTCATAGCACTCTCCTCAGTGCTGCGATGGAAGAGATACTGACGAACGAGCCGGCTACTCAGATGCATGTTGCCTGATATTGGACAGACACCATTGCTTAGAGATTGCAGTAAATATAGCGTGTAATGTTAAGACCTAATGTCAGACGAAATATAATGGTAAAAACGAACCTGAGGATTATCACTACTTAGCGTGTTAAAGTAGGAAAGTTAAAAATTGTCACCATATATCTAATATGGCTCGAAGCTTGTAGGATTTCGGACACACCTTTCTTTGTGCTTTGTGTTGAGGGTATGTTGCAGTACCACGGTTCCACTGTCATCCTCTAGACAGTCGTCACGCGCAGTGTCGTCAGCGGACCCTTTGGTTTCTTCATTTTTCTCGTCTAGCTCACCTTGAACGCTGGGCTGGTTACTCGCTAGAATGGCTGCTTTTGATTCAATCAAGCGTTTCTCTCGAGCTGCGTTTGCTTCATCTATCAATGGTCTGAAGGAAATTATAATGACAGGCTGTAGTGATTAATGGCACAAGCATAGGAAATGTATCAACACGCGAGAAAACAATAGTGTGACTGATCGATAACCTGCTCGTTGTCACGGTGGGAGCCCATGAGTTGCTTTGAGGATGTGTATTGGTTTGAAGCAAGCGCTTAATGAGTATAATTCGCTACGACGATACATCAAGGACTCACAGCAAAATGGAACACGATTTTGAACTCCGGATAAATTCCGTCTGCAATAGAGCTGCCGCCGTGGGACGACTTTCTGGAGACTTCGCGAGACACGAAGCCACAAAGTTACGAAACTGGATGGACCAGACATTCGGCTTACGTAGTGTTGGTGGAGGCTGGCTTGGAATCATGAAAAGAGCACGCATAGGATGGATGTCAGCCAAAGGAGGCTTCCCATCCGCCATCTCGATAGCAGTGATACCCAACGACCAGATATCGGCTGAGTAATTGTAGCCGACTTCTTGGATGACCTGATTATGAACAGTAGACAAATACAAAGGAGGATGTGGAGCCCAACAATCATAGTAAGCATTTTCACAAGAAGAGGTGTGTCAAAAGGCAACATACATGAAGAGAGGGGGTTTTTGTCATCGGAGAGTATAAGAGCGGAATTCTAGTACATCGTAGTTATAAAGCCATGTCATACAACCTAGCCAGTGCACGATAATAAAATGAAATGAAATGTGTCAGCTTATACGCCGTAACGGCGCTTCGCTGCCGCGCGGGCTGAGTATACCGCGAGGACGCCCACCCCTACGCGGATTCGAACCGGTGACCTTATGGTTGGAAAGCAAACGTGCAGACCACTCGGGCACCGGCATCTGATCTAACGACAATAAACCATGCGGCGCTTAGCCTACGGCTTCAACTGGCCACGAAAGGATGTCACGGGCAGGCAGATAACACTTGGTGCCGGGTATTCCCAGGAGTGATTAATATCCTCCTTTCAAATCTGGCGGTGCAAATGTTGGCATCAGTTCCCTATAATTTGATCACCAGAGTGGCCGTAAACCTAGCAGTCATGACGATAGACTGTTGATGGCAAAGGGACCAGATTAGTCAACATAAAATAGTCTGAATTCATAAGATTTACTAGGTGAAAATTCAAGCAATGAAAAGTGAAACGGTTAACTTTAAAGGCGTACTGCAGTTAGTAATTAGAACCGTTGTACAGGAAATCGGTTCAGAGATGCAAAGGCGACATACAAGTGGGTTAGGTACGAGTTGCTTGACTGGTGATGTGACTGATTGCTAGGTTCAAGCAAAGACAACGAACGCCTAATTTTTCAGCTCCTCCTCATATCCATCAATCGGTTTACGCAATAAAGTGCGGGAGCGGCAAATAATACACAAGGGAGTAATAGGTCGGTAGGCGTGCAGGAAACGTCACTCAGAAAGTGCAGTACCTAAGACTAAACAGAGTTTGTTGAGAAGCACTTGTTGACAGACTCCAGTCGCTCCAAATCGGTTACCATTCCAGATACGAGCAACTCTCTTTTGCATGACTGATCAAAGCGGGCAGTTTCCGGAGTGGTTGTGATTCTGATCCGCTCGGTGACGCCGGTCGCAGTGCGTTGCATACCCTGCTCTTAGTAGCGCATATCCTTTTTCGAGAAGTGGAAGAAGGCAGAATAATCCTTTCAGGCAGTTTCGACCAGAAGATGGTAGATCAACGGAAAGAAATCCGGATGGTGAGTTCGGGTGACAACTTTCCATAGGGCCGAAATAGGACGAAACTTCTCTGCTACGCCCATCAAAGAAACAGACGCGGCGAGCTGAATAGAGGACAGTGATCATGTGCAGCAGGCCACCATGATATCTAATGCAGAGTACCTAAAGAATGATAAATGTATCCCGGCTGAAGTCAAAAAATTCGTTAAATCAATTCATGAAGCTCCCTGAAGTGCAGAATGTGAAGTACACGTAAAACATTTGTTCCCCTTCATCCATTTTCTCCAAGCAGAAAGAAGACATATATTGCGATATGTCAATATTTCGATTGTTATCATCAGTCACAAACACAATACAAGCAGAAACACACACAGATATTTATGGTTGGCGGCATCCGGTTTCGGATTTGCCTGTCACTGTGGCAAGCCACAGGACACCTGCGCCTACAGAGAGACCATGGATGGCTTGCGCTGCACCACCCACAGCTCCATCCACACACCCCATATCCAGTGTAAACCCGAAGGAATAAGACCGGGAGGCATGCGGATGGGATCCACGTTTCATCAACGGAGCCGGCCCACACTCCTTCACAGGCAAACACAAGCACACTGTATTTGGGAACCAAGCGCACACAAGGCGCTGGCTGGACCGTAGTCCGCTCCACACTGACTGCATGGAACCACTCTTTGATCCTAACACGGCCACAAGGACCGTGCACCCTGTCCCCTCCAGCAACGAGAAACTGTCTCCTGGAGCCAGTATGGACGAGGTAGTGGGTAATAGACAGGTAGGCACCTTGTGAACATGCAAATCAAGCGCAGCCACCCCAGGGATATCAAACAACAGTCAATCACTTGAGAGAGAGAGAGAAAATAACTCGATTAATGCATAAGAAAACGGTGACACAAACCTTAAGTTAATAAGCATGTGAAAGAAGCTGTTTACAAACGAATCCTAGATAGGTTCACGATGTCAGAAAGTATACTTTACGGAATGCCACGAACACAAAAATGCTACGGAAATCGAATATAATTGGCTTAAGCGAGGTGTGCAAATTAATGGAATAGAGTACAGGTAGACATTTATATGAGAAAGAAAAGCATTTAGGCAACATTGAAAACCCACCACCTGAAATAAAGAGACAGCATGCAAGCACGCGGTTAGTAAATCGAATACAGCGTGCCTACAAACGCTGCGCCGGTGCTGCCTACGTTCACTGCGGGACCCGTCATCGCTTCGGTAGTGGTCCCGAGTGGCCTCGCGCATGGCTGACACCTGAAATATATATATATATATATATATATATATATATATATATATATTTCAGGTGTCAGCCATGCGCGAGGCCACTCGGGACCACTACCGAAGCGATGACGGGTCCCGCAGTGAACGTAGGCAGCACCGGCGCAGCGTTTGTAGGCACGCTGTATTCGATTTACTAACCGCGTGCTTGCATGCTGTCTCTTTATGGTTTGTGCAGTTTGGGTGCGCCCCTTATTCTTGGTGTCTGCGTCCCAGTCGGTTTCAGTTGCCTGTACTGCGACTCAGTGATGTATCCAGGTAGCAAGAGTAGCTGGAGTTTCCTTGCTACCTGCTTCTCCACCAAAATGTTATTCCCCCGGTGTCGTATCTCTCAGGAACTTACGTCTATCATCCAAAATGTAGTCATCCCTGTTCATTATTACATTGCCAGGTAAGCCACTGCGTCCGATTATGTATATGAACAACTCGCCCTATTATAACGTTGCTCGGTGGCTGGCGGAACTTAGTTCCAGTGCGTAAACTCCTGACTGTGCACTGCCTGAAAGACTCTTTCGAACTGGCGGGGACACTGGAATAATGCTCACTGGGCTCGGAGCTCATGTACTCTGTAGACGTGGACTCACTATTCACAGACGTGCCCCTTCATGAAACAGTTGACGATTTGTGTCATTTCATTCTGAGTCAAAACATGCATGTGGGCCTCCCTGTGGAATATTTGAGGGATCTGATTCTACTCTGCACAGAAAATATACGGTTTGAGTTTGAGGGGACGCCATACAAGCAGATCGACGGGGTCGCCATGGGCAGCCCATTAGGACTAGTTTTAGCATATATCTTTCTTGGTTTGATTGAAAGACAAGTTGCTGCCAGTATTGTTGAGGTGAAACTGTACAAACGGTACGTGGATGACATTTTGGTACTCACCAGAAGCGAACATTTTGCGCGACTGTTAACCACTTTGGGTTCAATTCACCCCAACTTATCGGTGTCCCAAGAGATAGAACAACATGGCAGCCTGCCGTTTTTGGATATCCTCAGCAAGAGACGGGATGGAGGTACACTGTAGCGCACCGTTTACTGCAAGGCGACTTGGAGTGGGCAGTACCTTCACTTTTCCAGTTTCGCCCCGGTTGCATACAAACGCGGTCTAGTGAGGACACTTTTCTACAGGGCTAGACGAATTTGTAGTCCGGAATTGCTGGAAGCTGAAGAAAAGTTTCTGTATAGGACCTTAGTATCGAATGGTTATCCCGAAAAGTTCATCCAAGTGCACAGCAACCCCCCCCCCCCAAGAAGAAACTGCCAGTGCAAACGGCAGAGAAAAAAGCTGTCTATTTGGTTCTGCCGTCCAAATGATATCGGCAAATGATATCGGACACAAGCTCAAGTCCGCCCTAAATCGCACATACACGACTGCCCAGTTGCGCCTCATGCACACTACCCGGAAACTGATTCTTCAGGACCGTCAGAGCTACCCTTCGGCTAGTTCGGCCTCTCATGTGGTTTATCAATTCACCTGCAGTTGCGGTGATGTTTACATAGGCAAGACTAACCGTTGGTTGGCTCAGAGGGTGGCTGAGCACTTGCCAAGGTGGGTCGAACAAATGATAGTGCAACAGAACGGAACGCCACACAGAACGTATCGGAGTCCGTCATCATCTATCGCTAAACACCTCTTGACAACTGGTCACCATGTGAACCCCAATAATGCGTTCAAGGTGTTATTACGTAACAGGAACCCGATAAGGTTGGCAATCAGTGAGACGTTGCTAATTAGCGCTTATCAATCTGTGTTATGTGCACAAAAACTCTTGAAGCAATCAATCAGATTGCCTTGGTCTTGATTTTGACTGTTTCATTGGTGTGCCGAACAACCTCCTCGTGGTGCCAGCTGGGTGGTTCGGGATCATCATGTTCCAGCGAATGGTTCGGCGGCAGTGTTCCAGGACGTGGTGGGTTTTCGCCTGGCAAGCGTTCTCCCTATAAAAAGCCACATATGTCCGCTTAACAACACTGTGACGTGGCGGACGTGACTCGCCACTAAATAAAGTCACTGCCCCTTGCCTCTCTCTGAGTGGCATTGTAATTCAAGGGTGCGTTGGGCCCCTGGTCCTATGCGGTCCTAAAGGCGTATGAACCATTTGTTTGGTCACCAGCTCGCAACGCGTTGCGATACCCTCATATCGCCCTGCTGCCT